ATAATTATTATCTTTTTTATAGAAAATAAAAACTACTTATTTGATATGTGTAGGTACCTAGCCAAACATATAATTGTTGAAAATGTAGCCGGGTGAAAAAGAAAAACTATATAGAGAAGCAAAATGAATAGAAACGGGAACTCGCTTAAAATATCACGCCTTCAAATCTCATAGTGGAAAATGATGACTTTATAATAAGTAATAATCATATATCTTTATTTTTAATTGGACTCAACATTGAGTTAAAAAAGTTAATGGTTCATGGTTCAATTATTAATTCTCTAAAGTTTTAGTGAGTCGTGTATGGAGCCGTTCATACTTGTGATTAGAATACATAAAAATAGTATACTAATTAGGGTTAGACGAAGAAGGTAAAGAAAGAAATAAAGAAAGGGTTATGGAAGGCGAGTGAAAAATGAAATGAAGAGTAAGTAGATGATGGAAAGGTTGGGTCATTTTTATACTTATATTAACTTTTAACTTTTGATTTTTATTAATGTTGATTTTTTTAAACATTGTTCTATTAAAATGTCATACAAATACTTCGTACATATCAATATCTTAATGTACTCGTATTATATTTTACTAAATATGTTGTCCATCACCGAATAGAATGTTCTTTTAAAAAATGATAATTATTATTTCAAATGGATATCATACATGTTTTTATGAAGTAAAAATCTCATCAAAGACCAAAATGGTCGAATCTTCTTCTACAGTTGAGTGATACAATATCTTGTATTGTGCAAACTAAATTTATACTTTTATGTTATGGTGGATTGGATTCATGGATTGGTAGATTAGATTTATGGATTCAAGTGAAATGTAAAAATTGGACCAATATGTAAATTTAAAAAATTGCAGGTACGAAAATCTCATAAAGTTTAGATACGAAAACATAATTGTTCAATGATTTTACATTAAAAATTAAATTTGAGGTATCAAAATGTAAAATATACATTATAGTGATTAAGTTATAATTTTATTAAATTTGAATTATCAAAATGTACTTCTTTTGGCAACAGTAACCTTACTTCACGTTTATATATATTTGCGTTGTCTGATCGTTTCCTAATCATCTGAATTGTTAGATTGGTAAGGCAGTAGTTTTGTAAATTATGTCATCGTAGTAATCAACTTCTAGAAAGCCATCTATACCGTTTATAAATTCACCTCATACGCTACTAGTCGATCATCATTTGTGATGGTGGTCACAATTTATTCTACTTAGTCGTTTGATAAATAGAACACAAGATAAGGACTTGACATTACATTATAAATTTAGTGTCTCTTCTTAATGCGGTCTACCTCATTTCTCATTATAAGAATATTTAGGAAAAATACATTTTGATCTCTTTAAAGGAAGAAATCATGATATTATCAACGTCGTTAAGGTATCAAGAGATGCTCATATCATGGTAAAAAAGGGTTTTCTCTCTTCATTGGTTCAACATCTGTTGACCAGCGCGCATTACTTTTTTTAATTTAGCCGATTTTGATCATATACTTATTTGTATCTAGCTTATTCCATTTTAGAATATCGTTTGAAAAAAAAAATGAAAGACAAAGCGAAATAATAATATTCTGTTTCCAAAATAAGTGAACAAATAAATACACAATTATACATCACCACATCAACAATAGTAAACGGTGCCTTCAATTGCTCTCTTAAGTCCCATCCCATGTTTTGCTCTGACAAACAAGGTTTGCGATACACGCTTTGTGGAAAGTAGACACCTCCACTCCAAAATCAATGCGGGGCGTAAAAGCTAATCCATAGCAATTAGCAAACGAAGGAAGAACTCATCCCTCAGGCCAAAAATTTCCAAAAATTTCACAACAGTTTTTGGAACTTCTCGAATTCTGAAATCATTTGGATGAAGCAATATTGAAATATGATGATAGAGCATTAAGAGTTAGATACGCCACATTTAGATAATTAGACTCTAGGCAACCTCAAAACACCTCATCTGAAGATTTTATTAAGAGTTAGATATCGAGAATATGTTAACGGGGTAAGGCGATACCTAAAAATAATGAGATAGAGCAAATAATCAATACAAATGGTATATGTTGTAAAATTGCTATTGAACTATGATTGTATAAACTTTTAAGCTGATTTTCTTGTTGCTAAGCATTAAGTAGAATATTAACCATTTGAATTGAAGAAGGAAAATGTTGTAAATTATTATTCCTTTCATCATTTTAAATTTTAATGCCAATTGTTGTTTTTTATAGTCACTCTTAGCCTTAGTTACTATGCAAGGCCCAACACCCCTTTATGTCTTAAGTTTTATTGAACCATATTTGGATTGGTAAATTTATAAATATAATTATGTAATTTTATTTTTCAATAACAATTTTAACACATCTCATCTTTTTATAAGAGAATTGATAGTTGGAAATTTGGTAATCCATCCATCTATTTAAATTCTCAGTTTTGTCCATCCAAATTCTGAAATCTATTACATTTTTTACCATAAATTTAAATACCATTCCACCACTCAATTATTCGTAAACCCAAATCAACTGAAACTGGACTATATTATCAACGAATTCTGATTAATAAAGTTTCTACAAATTCCCATAAAAAAAATTCTTCATAAAAACCATCCGTCTATTTTTAGAACATCACGTCACCAACAAGTTTAGGAATCTATAATTCTTAATTAGCTATGTAATTGAAACCTTTGGTTTCTGTTCACTACTGAGACGAAGTGATGATGCTGGTGGCTTCAGTGCGGCTAATGCTATAAGCAGCTTTTGCGTCTTCTTCTTCTTGACCTTAGCCATCTTGTTCTTGCCCTCCAACTACTAGAACAGCAAAACCAAAACCCTCAAAATCTTCCGATTCCCAAACCCCAAAAAACATCCAACAATGATACCTTCTTCTTCCTGCTTCGCTCTGCTCCTTGTCCTCTTCCTACTCCACCAACCCTTCTCTTCTACAGCCAATCTTCACAAACTCAACACAAATCCCCTCCTCAAATCTGCCCTCCGCAGCCCGCCGCCACTCGGCGTCGAACTCTCCGCCGCCCAATCCTCCGCCGCCGTGTCCCCAACCGTCTTCTTCGAAGTAACAAAGCCCATCCCACTCCCCAAAACAGAGCCCTGCAAGCACATCGTTCTCCAGCACGATTTCGGCTTCACCTACAACCAGCCCCCGGTCCTCGCCAGTTACTCCCCTCCATCTCACTGCCCCTCGTCGTCTCACGGTTTCTCCAAAATCGTCCTCGAATGGAACGCTACTTGCAAGGGGAGGCAATTCGACCGAATCTTCGGAGTCTGGCTCGCCGGAGTCGAGCTTCTCCGGAGCTGCACGGCGGAGCCGAGGCCCAATGGGATCTTCTGGACCGTACGAAAGGACATCACCAGGTACTCCTCTTTACTGCTCAAGAACGAGAACCAGGATCTAGCTGTCTTCCTTGGGAACATCGTTGATCAAACCTACACTGGAATCTACCATGTCAATGTGAGCATTTACTTCTATCCGGCGGAAGAGGGGAAACACGGATCTGGGGCTCCAAATTCGGCTGATTTGATCCTGCCCATTTCGCGAAATGTGCCGTCCAATGATGGGTTGTGGTTCGAAATCCAGAATTCGACTCAGACTGAATCGAAGCAGTTCGAGATCCCCCAGAATGTTCGTAGGGCTGTGCTGGAGGTTTATGTTTCGTTTCATGAGAATGATGAGTTCTGGTACACAAATTACCCCAATGATTATATCATTGCGAACAACATTTCTGGTGCTCTAGGAAATGGACCGTTTAGAGAAGTTGTGGTCAGTCTTGATGGAGTTACAGTTGGTGCTGTTTGGCCTTTCACTGTGATCTACACTGGTGGAGCGAATCCTCTGCTGTGGAGGCCAATTTCAGCAATTGGATCGTTTGATCTCCCTACTTACGACATCGAAATCACTCCGTTTCTGGGAGGCATGCTCGATGGGAAGGCCCACGAGTTTGGGTTTAGCGTCACAAACGCATTGAATGTCTGGTTCATCGATGCTAATTTGCATCTTTGGCTGGACCATCATAATGCCAAAACTGAAGGGCAGCTCATGCATCACCATGATCAGCTCGATATCTCTTCTCAGTCGAAATTTAATGGCTTGGATGGGGAATTTCAGACAGGTGCAGGCAGATCGATCTCTTCCAAAGGATGGCTAGTATCTTCCCAAGGGAATATCACCACCCGGTTTAGCCAGCATTTCGGATTCAAAAACGTCATGGAGATGGGAAAAGATGGGAATCTGCAGATTGTTAGGCAGGTGATTCTCTCAAATGACAGTGTCTCATTTTCTTCCCATGCTCTTCGATCATTTGGATCGCGTAACAACTTCAGCTTGGACTTCTACTCTGACTTCAAGGAGGAACCGAAAAATGTTGGTGCTTACATTATAAATGTTACATTGGGGTTTGACAAGAAGAAGTCCGGTGATAGCTATGATTCTCGGTCCAAGAGCTCATCTTTGCATAATCAGCAGAGTGGGCAAAGTGTTATGAAGGTGAAGAACAACTTGGTGATCAGCGGAGTTGGTGCGACCCAACAGCTATACGAATATGTGGGCGAGCCGGTGTGTTATTTCAGGAACATAAGCAGCTTTAACTACACCGTTCTTTACGACAAGGAGGGCAATACTTGCTACAAGAAGAAAGAGGGCTACGTAGATTTTAAGGTTCCGAGGCTCTGGCCGTTCTCGAGCAGGAGGTCGTTCATGGCATCATCGTCTGGATTGCCGGATGAACACTGAGAGTTAGGTTGCTAATCTTGGTTGCTTACACATTGCATACCAAATAAGAATGTGTTTCATTATGTTTGTTTCATATGTACATTAGAAGTTTGAACGTTCTTGTTTATTCAGTCTATTTCAAGCCAGTGCAATTTGAGTCACAGACATCAATTTACCACTAATTATTTTCCCTCTAATTTTGTATCGGTTATTTGGTTTCCGACGATAATTGGGGGTTATATATATTTCACTTTCACGTAGAGAGAGAACCAAAACTCAGGAAAACCAGATTAGACAAAGAAGGTTTGATAAACTTTCTAAAAGAAAAACCAGAGAGCTGGGGGAGGAAAGATGGCAACGATGGGAAGAAATGAGAGGAGACGACGAATCATGGAGAGAGGATCAGATCGATTGGCTCTCATCACCGGTGAGCTCAAGAATCTCGAACGAACATCCTCAATGCCGTCGGCTGTCCCTTCGTTATCCTTCAATGGTAATTGGATTCATTCATATCATTCGATTCTCTCACGTCACATTCCAAAATGTGCACATTTTTGTAAAACTTTTCATGGTTATGATTTTCGAGCTACAGAACGTTCAGGGGGGCTAGAGATTGGATCTGATGACTCTGGTTCCAAAACACCAACAAAGGAAGCAATCGTCACCAAGCAGATTCCAAAGGCGGAGAAACTAGATTCATCACATATCTCCAGATCCGTGACATCTCCAGATGTTGGTAACTTAACACCGAAGCCACAGACTGCAATAACAGCAATAGGGCCATCAAATAAAAAACCACCATCATCGTCGTCAAAGCCAAAGCAGACAATTTTTTTCTCTTCCAGGCGCCTGAACGCCTGCATCATAGCTTCTGAGGTCACCCGAGCGAAATGTTCCTTTGTTATATCCGTTCTCGTGCTGTTTTTCCACTTTGCACGCTCATGGATCAAAATCGACGAGCTCACCGAGAGATACAGGCCTATATACTTGATCGCCTTGACCAGTGTAACGATTGTGTTGCTTCGGATGATCCAGGGGAAGGGAATGGTTGTAGAAGATGCACAAGAAGAGAAAGCTGGAGATAGCTCAGAGGATAAGAGCTGGAGAGACGCGTTCATGGTGCTGGAACGAGGTCTTACGGCCTACCAAGCAATTAGAGGCTTGTTCATCGACTGCAGTATTTACTTGATTGTTGTCATCTGTGGCCTCTCTTTGGCGTAACAGCGTTTGCTGGCCACAAGAAGAAGAAAGCTTTTCCTTTTCTCAGTAATTTTTTTGTGGAACCCTAAAAGGTTACTCATATCCATTGTAATGAGATGCTAAATAATCCTTTTAAGGACATCACATGAACAAGAACAATACAGGGAAAGAGCAGAATTAGGTTTAAAGAAACAAACATGATTCATGGAATCTCGTCTACAATGGACGAGCGGCGAATCCTCGATGAACCATCTTCTCAACCAGCTCTTCATGCTTCTTCAACTGCCCAGCTTTCCTCAGCTGCTGGAGAACCATTTCATAGACGTTCTGACTCGGTTTCAACCCTTTCTCCTCAATCATTTCCTTGAAGAACTTGTAAGCATTGTTCCAATGCCCCATCCCACAATACATCCCGATCAAAATCCGGTACGTATTAACATTCGACTCGACTTCACCCTCATCCATCTCCTTCTTCATCTTCAGAACCATATCCGTCGACTTCGACTCCACGAACATCCTCATTAATGTATTGTAGGTCACGGTGTTGGGCCTACATTTCACCTCCTTCATCTTAGCATACAACCTGTGAGCACCATTCACATCCCGTAGCTTCGCAATGCAACCGAATAAGGTATTGAAAGTAGAAGCATTTGTGGTACAACCGCTACGTATCATGGAATTCAGAACCTTCATCGCTGCATCGAGATTATCTTCCTTGCAATGAGTCTCGATCAGGAAGTTATACGTAACTGTATCGGGCTCGCAATTCAGCTTCCTCATTTGATTGTACACCTGCAGAACTTTCTCTGTTCTACCAGCTTTCACATGTGCTCTCATTAGATTGTTGAACGTTACCGAATTCGGCTGGCACCCCGAATCGACCATCTCTGCAAACACATCAAAAGCTCGTGTGCTCTGCCCGCGTCTACAGAGCGAATCGATCACGATGCTGTACGTATAGACATTAGGTTGAATGCCAGCGGTCTTCATCTCACTGAACACCCTCTCGGCCTCCGGTAGGTTTCCGGCGCGACACCACCCGTGGATTAAGTTGGTGTAGATGATGACGTCCGGCTCGAATTTGGACTTCAAACCGTCGAAGAAGGCTTCGGCTTCGGCCGCTCTTCTCTTCTTGCAGAGATTACTGATTACAATCGAGAAGGCGATTTTGTCAGGCTTGCAGTTGTAATCCTCCATTCGATTGAATGCGTGAACGGCTTCCGCGGCCATTCCGGCGCGGATGTAGCGGCGGAAGAGAATCGAGAAGGTTTCGATGCTGATATCGACGGATCTCTGTTTCATTAGATCGATTATGTTCCAAGCAAGGTCGAATAGCCTTACCTTTCCGGCGAGATCGACCATCTCGTTGTAGGGTTCGGGGGAGAGAGGGAATTCGTCCCGAGCCGTTGCCCAGTTGAAGAAAGCTAGGGTTTGGAGGAGTGGGATGCCGTGGCGGACGCCACCGCACTTCTCGATGACCCGCCGGACGAAGGCAGGTGTGATGGTGTCACCGGAAAGCTGGGAGAAGTCGAGGGAGAGAGATGGGATGGTGAAATTTGGGACGCAGGATGTAGGGTTTGGATTCGGGTTGTTGCGGTAGTGGTCTTTGATTAGGGAATGGAATTTGTCGACTGCGGTGGATTCTTCAGGGGAGAGAGCGGCGGGGACGTGGAACGGTGATAGAGTTGGTTCTTCGTCATTGGAGTCCGATTCTTCATCGTGGATGAGAGGCTGTGAGACTTCGGGAGAGGAACAGTAGAAAGAAGTGAGGAAGGGGCGGGATACGGGGCAAAGTGAGGTGGGGAAACGGAGGCGGGAGTGGATTGCCGCCATTGATAGCGGCGAAGGAGGCTGCTCTGTTTTCTGGTTCGAGGAAGGCAGAGGAACACGGCGACTCGGCGAGCAATCGCTATGGTTTTGGGGAGGGTTTAGGGAAGGGACGAAAGGTCACGGGAATACGGCGTCGTTAGGCAAATGGAAAAGACCAGTGCCTGATGGCTGATGGACGTTTCAAGAGGCTTGGGCCACGGAACTGACCTAGAGAGTAAGCCCACAAGTTGAAGAACACTGGGCCTTGCATTTGTAATAGGGGTGATAATTGGAAGGCGATTAACTATTAACCAAGGTTGTAAACCCGCGGGTTGAACCGGGCCCGGTCGAGCCAGTGGGTCAAGGGTTAATGGGTCACTTATTTTAGCCCGTTTCAGTCCGGAAATATGAAAAGAGTCATTATATTGCACTTATCTTGATAAATTATATCAAATCTCATCTAACATATAAGTAATAACATATAACATCACACCAAAGTAACATGTCGTACTTAGATCCAACATATAGTGAAAATTCACACACTTATACAACATCAATATTCAAATGTTCATCTAAAGATTCCAAAAATTGAGTTAGGCGAAAAGAAAAATAAAAAAAAAATAGGCGCATTTCGCAAACAAACAAAAAAAATGACACAATTTGACCTCCAACCCGATACCTTGTAGCGATCGATCCGGCGGGTGCGTGTGACCCGTTTTTCTCATCGGGTCAGGGTCAAAGTGGGTCGACCGGCGAGTTGACAACCTTGCTATTAACTGATGACTGATCGATTAAATTTTGTTGATGGGTAAAGGTAATAAAATACCATAGAAATTATTAAATTTTGAGTATTTTTTAGTTTAGTGGGCTATAATTGGGCTGGAAAAATGAAAAAACCTAAAAAAATGGAATGGGGTCAAATTCCAAGTTCCAACAACAAGGAGGAGCAATCGAGGGTCTCGAGAAGAATTCGGCGATATTAGGGTTCAGGAGCAGACCGTCCATCGCATCTTCTTGTGAACCGTCATATCATGCAAAGTAAATACACGCGGGGCAAAATAGTAATCTTGCGGCTCTGACAATTTGAAAAACAGACGTGACATTAAATCGTCCTGCCTTCTCTCCTTCTTTCTCTCACCTTTCACGCGACAGTTCTATTTCGCTCTGCTGTCTAACTCTCGATTCCTCCTCCCGATCCTCAGTCCTCTCGATTCCTCCTCCTTCAGGAAACACAGAAGAAACTTCAAACTCGAAGGATTTTCGCAAGGTTTTCGAAGAATCATTCAACGATACACTGTTCTCGCTTCTTCGTCGGAAAAAGAAGGGTTTCCAACTTCAACGAGGCTCAAAAATCGTTTTCGCACAAAAAAAATCAAGGTAAAACCTTGTTTCTTTCTTCAAAATCCCTCCAAAAAGCAATACAAACAGTATTTCAGTCACTCTTCATGTGAAAATGGAAGTAAACTCGCTACATTACCAATCGATATCATACAGTGCTGAAATGGTGTTGAATACCATATGGTATTAAGATTTGTAATGCGGTAAAATATAACTTCTATTGTGCTATGCTATATATTGCATAATGTTACCATATGGTAAGATGTGGTAAGCTATGGTTTGATGTTATAAAATGGAGTAAACTATAAGTCTTGTTGTGTTTTACTTTGTTACCATATGGTAAGATGTGATAATCTATGGGTTTTTTTTACAGTTCTTTTTTTTACAGTAATAATCTATGGTTTAATGTTATAAAATGGAAGAAACCATAAGTCCTGTTGTGTTTTACTTTGTTACCATATGATAAGATGTGATAATCTATGATTTAATGTTATAAAATGGAAGAAACCATAAGTCCTATTGTATTTTGGTTTAATACCATATGGTAAGATGTGGTAAACTATGTTTTGATGTTATAGAATAAAGTCAACCATAAGTCTTGTTGTGTTTTGCTTTGTTTCCATATGGTAAGATGTTATAATCTATAGTTTGATGTTATAAAATGGTAGAAACCATAAGTCATGTTTTCTTTTTGGTTTAATACCATATGCTAAATTGTGGTAAACTATGGTTTGATGTTATAGAATGGAGAATACCATAAGTCCTATTGTGTTTTGGTTTATTATCATATAGTAAGATGTGATAAATCTATGGTTTGATGTTAAAAAATGCAGTAACCAAATATCATGTTTGAAGTGGTTTATTACCGTATGGTATGATTTGGTATGGTAGGATACCATATGGTATATTATGGTAAAAAGCATCCTAATAGACTATTCTTGTTTTCTACATTCAGGTACATTATGGTGAAAGAAAGAAAAAGTTTTCGCACAAGGTGCAGCCCGAACAGAGTAGCTGCAATCAATGCCGTCAAAAACGCGATTCTACCTAGAAACGGAAGATGGGTAAAATCGAAAAACATAGAATCAAAACGTAAAAACGTAAGTTTTTATGCATCCTGTATAGTAGTTATAAATCCGTAAAATTTGGCATGTACTATGGAAAATATGAGTGTACAAATTTCAGATAAATGAGTAAATACCTGCAATTTATGTTTAAAGTAGAGAAAACCCATAACATCTAAATCATAAGTTCGTAAACATAAATCATAACTCACAAATGAGTTAAAAGAAACCAAATTCTAAACTGTTTAAGAAGTTTACATAACATAATGACACACGAGTTTAATAATCCAAGTTCTCGAAATCAAATCACACAAATCTATCTATCTATACATAATATTATGGCAATTCAAAAGTAATTGTTTGCCACCTAAACACTTGGAGAGTTCACAAATTGCCAAGGTGGACAATATTTTTACAAAAAGAAAAATATTTATTGATATATTTATGGAGCTATCTCTCTCTTCATTTAATATTTCATTTCTCTTTTATCCTTTTTTTGTATTATATCAATGTACACAATAATAAATAATGTATGAAAAGTGACATATATTACATTTGTTATCTCTAACTTTTTTAATATTTATTTTTATTTTCCAATACTTCCTTTATGTTTTTTTTACTTTTGCATTGTATCGATGTACGCAACAATAGACTAATGTCTTTGAGTCACACATATAACTTTTTTCTCAACCAAAAAAATATCTTATTAAAGCTCACTAAGTAAATTTTTAACTCACTTTTACAATAATTTACAAATATGTTACATTTTAATGAACAATATATACAAACACACATACATAATAACATTTTATCGCGAAAAAATAAAGATGGAAATTAAAGAGAGAAAACAAGAAACGCTTGAATAGAAACTTGGCCAAGCAATAAAATCTATTTCTTAAACAAAAACCTTATTCATTCTAATTAAGTGAAGACCTATGAATCATAGGTGCAATAATTTACAATGTA